TACTATTTGAAAGAGAAAGTACCGGCGCTACGTGTGAAAGAGGACATAGTCGGATATGCAAAGTTCAAATGGCCCCTGCTGTTTTCTCGTTTTTACGAAGCTTACAGAAATTCCGGTCCGAACTTACCGAAGAATGATGTTATCATAGCCGTCAATTGGACCGGGGTGTACGTAGTCGATGATCAGGAGCAAGTGCTCCTAGAGTTATCCTTCCCCGAGATTACCACCGTATCTAGTCAAAAGTATGTAATAGCGAGATTAAAATTAAATACGTAAGAAATGTATACGTATGTACATAAGCATAATGTAAGGTAGGAAGCAAACTATAATATATGGCATGCTTCGCCTTGTTTCGTAGATCACAAATGTATGTTGTCATTAATTATTTAAATTTAAGGAAAATAACATTTTATATATAACTACAATATAACAGAAGAGAAACGCAGCTTTTCTCTTTTTTTTTTAGAGTAAAATAACACTTGAACGTTTTAATGAAAAAAATAAATACGCATAGTATCGATAGATTTATTTTTAATAAATATGTGATTGTTTAATTTAATATGTAACATACACAATCAATAAGGAAATAAAACTCCTAATGGAAGCTGAATCCTTGATACTCAAATAATTCGGTGTGAATTTATATATTGTACTACGTATCAAATAACTGAGACGTCTTGAAACGCTATATCAAACTATACAGAATTATGCAGCTGGCAGAATTGGCAGAATTTGATACGTAGTATATAAATTTACACCGAATTATTTAAGCATCAAAGGTCTAGTTTCGAACGTTATGGTTACAGTATATTCACATAAACGAATGATCCAATGAGATCTTATTGTTTAACGTAATATAAAAAATATATGAATTAAAAAAGAGTTTTGTAATGTTAAACTACATATATCCGACTATTACATTCTAAACTGCGCGTAATTTTTCGCAGAACAAATAAAATGTTTACACAAACATTCAGTTTATCGACGGTACGGGGAGAAGAATTCACATTCCAAAGCCCGAACGCGGAAGACATCCGTGATCTGGTAGTATACTTTTTGGAAGGACTGAAGAAACGCAGCAAGTTCGTTATAACCTTGCAAGATTACAAAGCACCGGGCGAGGGCTCGTCATTCTTGAATTTTCAGAAAGGTGATCTCATTATTCTCGAAGATGAAAGCACCGGCGAGACTGTGCTTAATTCAGGGTGGTATGTCGGGACCTGTGAAAGGACTGGTGAGAAGGGCGATTTCCCGGCTGAGACAGTCTACGTTTTACCTTCCTTAACGAAACCGCCAAATGATATATTGGTACGGGATTAGTTTTATTGGTGAGAAATGTTGACATCTTCTTTCTAAACAACTCATCGATAATAATAATTTTTAGGCTTTATTCAGTATGGAAGGTACAGAGAATAGTCGCAGACTTTATCCGCAGCAAATGAATGGTGTGGACTCTCGTGATAAACCTCATACTCTTCTAGAATACGCAATCGACCATTTCCGGTAAGAAAACTATGTGACATGTGTGTGTAGCATTTGATATTCTAAAGTAAAAAAATGTGATAATATTTTGATTAAATTTGTCTTAGAACACCACCAAAGAGAACAATGTCCAAAACATTGACTTTAACGTCCGCGCGACGTGGACACACGGACGAATTGTGGCACCACTCTAGAGAGCCAATAAAGCAACCTCTTTTGAAGAAACTCGTATCGAAGGAAGAGCTAGCTGAAGAAGCATGTTTTGCCTTCAATGCCATTCTCAAGTATATGGGTGATCTGCCAACGAAACGACCGCGCATTGGAAACGAGTACACCGATCTGATCTTTGACGGGCCATTGAAAAATGAGATCTTACGAGATGAGATTTATTGTCAGATTATGAAGCAGCTTACTGATAATCGTAACAGATTGAGCGAAGAGCGAGGATGGGAGCTAATGTGGCTCGGTACTGGACTATTTACTTGTAGTCAGAGCCTCTTGAAGGTATAATGTATATACCCCTTATAACAGAACTTTACATATTTCTCTTTCTCCCCCTCTCTACCTGTTTGCTAATAATATTTTGTAAAATATTATCGATACCATGCTTCTTCAAGGAAAATTCACAAGCATACATGGGGGTATAATACTATTTTACATTGCAGGAATTAACTCTGTTTCTACGTACAAGACGCCATCCCATATCTCAAGACTCTTTACAAAGGCTGCAGAAAACCTTGCGTAATGGTCAACGAAAGTATCCGCCGCATCAAGTGGAAGTGGAAGCTATTCAGCACAAAACTACGCAGATATTTCACAAGGTCTATTTTCCAGACGACACGGACGAGGTGCATATCTTATTCTTCATTTCTTCTGTAATATATAGGCAGTCCTATAAATAAAATAACTTTTTCTTTTTCGATTGTAACTATTGTAATTTTGGATTATATCGGATTATAGGCATTCGAAGTCGACTCGTCTACCAGAGCAAAAGATTTTTGCCAGAATATCGCGCAAAGACTCAATCTGCGATCTGCCGAGGGCTTTAGTTTGTTCGTCAAGATTGCCGATAAAGTTATTTCCGTTCCGGAAGGCGACTTTTTCTTCGATTTCGTACGACATTTGACTGATTGGATCAGGAAAGCTAGACCATCGCGAGACGGTACACATCTTTGCAACTTTCAATATCTTTGTTTCCTTGTTGCGACTGTATCGAGTTGCATATAACTGTATCGAAAACAATTATATAAATCTCTCTCTCTCTCTCTCTCTCTCTCTCTCTACTATTAGAAAATACAAAAAGTTTATTTTTATTCGTGGATTAATAAATATGCACATGCAGATTACGTTATCTATAAGTGCGTTGTTAAAGTTGAGGAATAAAAAACTAAACGTTTCGATATTTTTATATCGTCTGTATTGTACGCCAAACGTGCACAATGGCATAAAAAAATTAATTTTTACAAGGACAAATCAGGTAACATCGCTCTCTTGACCGAGAAGTTATTATTCATTCACGAAATCAGTCACGAAAAAAAATCCATCATAATCAAATTAAATCGGAATTTAGTTATATTGAATAATTTCAACATCAAATCTTAAGAAATCAAATTCAAGTCACTTAGTGACATTTTTATAGTCATATTTTCAAATCACTTGAAATTATACAAATTCATTCCAAATCATTTCCAATTTGTAAAAAATCAAAATTACTCCCCCCCCCCTCCCCCGCCTTTAACACAATTCAAACGTAATAGATACAGTAGTAATATATAGAGTTGCAGCCAGGAAATAGGAGCTTTAATTGTTAAAATTTCTATTCATATCATATATGTTTGAGCGCATATATTTTTACATTAAACATTTTTATATTAGTATTATATACTATATTATCTAGGAGTGTCACCACAGTTTACATATCAAGTTTTCTTCATGAAGAAGCTTTGGACAAATACAGTTCCTGGTAAAGATAGAAATGCCGATTTGATTTTCCATTTTCATCAAGAACTTCCCAAATTACTGAGAGGTAAGTAATGATCATGAAATTGTTTCATTCTGGCAATACACGCGTTTCTACATAATAATAAATGGTGCATCGTATTATATCACTGCCTTTATTGAAATATGTATAGGCTATCACAAATGTACGAAAGAAGAAGCATCAAGATTAGCGGCCTTGGTATATAGAGTACGATTCGGCGAGAGCAAACACGAATTACAAGCGATTCCGTAAGTTCTCGATACATTATTTACAGTTTTGCAAAGGACAGACATTACAAATAACAACTCTCTTTCGATTTCAGACAAATGCTAAGAGAACTGATACCAGGTGATTTAATCAAGATACAGAGTGCTAACGATTGGAAGAGATCGATAATCGCTGCTTATAATCAAGATGCTGGTAAGTAAAAAGCACGATGAACGATGAACGGTTCGTATGAAAAAAAAATTGAGATTTTTAATCGAGATACTTACAATTCCAGGCATGAGTCCAGAAGATGCGAAAATTACATTTCTGAAAATCGTATATCGATGGCCGACGTTTGGCTCCGCGTTCTTCGAAGTAAAACAGAGCACGGAACCAAATTATCCCGAATTGTTATTAATCGCCATCAATAAACACGGCGTGAGCCTCATACATCCTCAATCAAAGGTAATCGAGATGCGTTATTTTCTTTCACTGAGAAATGTATATGTAAAATTACAAATAAGTATTATAAATGTATACATATAGAGAGTTAGAAATATTATTAATTTCTTAGTTTCAAATATGTTTTACCATGTTGGACGTATCAATAATCTAACATGCAATTTATTTATATATACAGGACATACTCATCACCCATCCCTTTACAAGAATCTCCAATTGGTCGTCTGGCAATACCTACTTCCATATGACGATAGGGAATCTTGTGCGCGGCTCGAAACTTTTATGCGAAACTTCATTGGGTTATAAGATGGATGATCTCTTGACCTCCTACATTTCATTAATGCTCACAAACATGAACAAGCAACGCACGATACGAATCAAATAGCAACAAAAATAACGTATGTACAATTGAAATATACATTCCACGGCGCGCAACGACCGAATGCGCAAATATATCTTACAAGGTGCTGACGTTAAAATTGCACACGAATTTCCCAATTTCATTGTTTACGAGCACACAATTGCGTATTAAGTATATTATTAAGTATATTATTGACGAATTCTGTTGACAGTATCGTTTCGTCATTCGACGGAATTATTTCTATCTGATTGATAAAACGTAACTTAAATTCTCATTTTACTTAATACATTTGTCTATCATTTATTTTATATTGTACACGACGTGAAATTTTTGTGGAGATAACTTTAGAATCATATTGATGCTACAATTTATATATATATATACACACACACACACACACACACACATATATATATATATATAATAAAATATAGATATAGATATTATTAATATTATTTCCATATCTACTTGTTAATTTATAATTCATAATAATCTATACAAGAGAAATAACAATTTATATATGTACACAAGTTGTAGCTGATAGATTTGTACATGATTTACTTATGATTAGGAATTTTTCATCGCTTTGTATAAAATTATTCCCTTTATCTCGTAAATATTATTGGTAGATTCTGTAACTGAAATTCGTATTTTATTATCTCCAAGCAATTATCCACGCACTCTACGTACGTGCGTGACACGGGCATAATAGCAGCTATACTTAATCGTATTCGTATTTAAGGGAAAAAAAACGCATTCGCAATAGCATTTTGCGAATCTACTGCTGATCATTCCGCGATGGCGAATGCTTAAAATATATTATCCGTCCAGTGAATTTATTATTAAGTACATAAGTCAAATTTTGAGGAATCACGAATTCTCGCAAAGGTGCAAAACAACACGATGTATCCGTAGAACAAAAAGTTTTCTCCAAATGTGTCTTGCTCTACAGTCTACAGAATATAATTTCGAAATGAACGTCTCACGCAAGAGTATAATTACTATTAATTCGTTTTTATAATTGTGAATAAAGACGACCATACTTTCCACGCGCAAAGTACAAGCGTTAATCGTGGGTAAATTCCCATGGAATGTATATATACCAGCGTTCCCCCTTTCCAACACAAATCTCTTCGGGAAGACATTCCCAAGGCGATACTATCTCACTTCCTTTCGAAGATGACGGTGTTTCGATTATCTTCCGTGAAAAAAAAAGAAGGTAAAGAATCCGAATATGTATACATACACATTGCACACATTAATGATTGAAAACGTCGCGTTTACTTGGGAAGGAATTTTTTTTAATCACTTGTATATCTATTTACTAAAATTTTTCGATATTTCAAATACAACTGAATTAATGTCAACTTCAAAGGAGTCTGTGAGTAAAAAAGATTCACGCGACTATCGATAATACGTATGTGCATCTGTATACGATATTCGCAAAGAAGTCCCAACATTTAGTTTTGGAATCGGGAATTAAATCAGGAACTTAATAAACATCATGTAATATAAACTTTCTGTTTATTCTAAATGTGTAGGAGCATAAAACTTTATATGCGTCTTCATTGTACTTATCGATATAACTACAATAAAGCACATAAATATAATCTTTAAAAAATTTTTTTCACGAAAAATCCTTATAAAAACGCTCCAAATTATGATAGTAGATGCTCGATCTATTAAAAAAAAATCTCAAGTATTATGAATACAAGTCTTCAGATATGAACGTTCGGGGAACATGCTGTCATCACTATTGTCATTCTTGCTTTATCGTTCATTAGACGTGGAACAAATATAATAATGCAATAGTTCTGATACCCCGAACGCATCATTCGTGCACAACGTAATTTAAAGATCCGTCCATTCGTTCGAACATCGCGATTTCCGATATTCAACATTTTTTGTAAAGAAAAATACGTAAAAATATGTGCAATGCCATACAATATCTAATGCTAGAGGAATTTGTTTTGCTTTGGCTACATTTTATTTTATATACGAAAGTTGGATAATCAAAAATTAATTTTACGCGAGCATCTCTAAAACATCTAACGCAATTGTTACACCGGGATTCACATAATTGTAATCACAATAAGTGCTGTACGTACATTGAAATACTATATATATACAATAATGCGCGCGCACGCACGCACGCACACACACACACACACACACACACACACATCATCATCATCATCTATTATCAATCTCTGATCGTTTTCACAATCAGCACCGATTCACGCACGTTTTCATTCAATGAAAGTATATGCATTTATCATGCATCTCCTAATAAATAATGAAGAAATTATGGACATCGCGCGCATATGAATTTACAAATGTACCAAATGTCGAGGCCGTCGTGCGTGGATTCAAAAATACATCACGTACCTTGTCCCTATATAACTTTGTACAGGATAGACCATTCGCGCGAAACAACGCTCGGATTTCGGTACGAGTTCTCGACGAGTTTTCTTGTAAATCTGTTTTACTTTCTTTTTCTTTCTTTACGAAATGATATTCTGCCGATAAGATAAAACGGATAAAACTGATGTATTAAAAACAATTAGAATTTACGATACGATCGGTAACAATGTAGCAAACGCCCAATTGTAACTTCGAGATCCGTTATACCGAATTCCAAGCGTAGCAGCAGCAGCAGCAGCAGCAGCTTCTTTCGTAACAAATACAATGTTAAAAGCACAACCATCGTTCGGTGACCGATATGCGAATGTATAGACCAAGACTGTGTTACCCCTATTACTTGTTATTAACGTTACTAATCGTTTGATAGTTTTGTATCTTTCTTAAAGTGCTAGATGAGACAAGGAGGAAATGTTTCCCTTGGAGACATCGTAGAAACGATTAAAACTTTTTTATCATGTAAATGAAATATTATAATTTCGTTTGTTTTTCCCAAAAATTCTATCATCCGACATCGTATACTCGCGACTCAGTCTATACACACTATAGCGTAAGCCGTTAAACCAATAGGATCGCTATGACAAATTATTATCTCTGTAAATCTGTATCTCAACAAGTTGCAAGTCTAGTTCCACGATCGTCTAATGCGCGCGAAATTCGACGCGCCATATCATCGTCGCATCACGTCGGATGCACTGAGCGATACGCTACGTTTTCGTATTGTCCAAGTTCGCACTACATCGCGTCGCATCATCATTGATTTCGCGAAATAAATTTTTCGTCAGGTACGAGCGATCATCATCGCTCTCACTCGCGTCGTCGTCGTCGTCGTCGTCGTCGTCATCGTCGTCGTCATCGTTGTCGTCACCGTCGTCGTCATCGTCGTAGTCGTCGTGAGACACAGCAGTGGGCGTTACACCGTCCGTATCATTAGTATATCGTAAACTTTGGTTCGCGTTAAGATGATTGTCTAGGAGACATCAGAGACCCGATTGCGGTGGCTGTCCGTGAGTGTTCCAGGGTACGTCAGCGGGCATCGCGGCAGGCGGTATACTGGCTTGATTGTGCATGGCACGTGGCGCTCGCATAATCTCGTCGGCGGGCGGACAGTGCGGACGCGGTCCTGGCTCGGGCGTATACGTGAAAGTTAGACCAGTCGCGTAAATGATGCCATCGTTGCGTACGAGAGAGACCGGCACTTGCGTCGGCTGACGTACCCAGAGCCACTCGCCGCGGAAGAGCGAGATGTCCGGCACGACGCAGAGCATGCTCTCTTGGCATCTGTACATGGTCTCGGCCTCCACGTCGCCAAACCAGACTTGCAGGTTTGGCGTGAAATTGTCGCCCGTCAGCTCGAGCATCGCCACGTCGCCGCCGCCGTTGAGATGCAAGCTGTGGACCAGTGGTACCGGCGTCACCGGCGACCGTACCGGGCCCATACCCTCGAAGAATTGGTATTCTGCCTTGTCGGTGCTGATGATGGTCCAGCAGGCACCGTCGTTGATCATCTCCTTGTTCGCTTCCTTTGGGCAAGGCGTAGCCTGAAATTGTATTATACGCTCCTGCGACAGGCACAGGTACATATGATCCGTGTCCTTCATATAAAAGGCACACTTGTGCAACTGCGATACAGGATCGTCCGCCTCCAGACTGGCCATTTGTTTGTCTACCTTGCGAATCACCAGTCGCGGCAGAGCCATTCCTGTGACGGAGCATACCAATTTCACGGTGCTGCCGTAGTGGACGTAACCGTCGCGCACTTGAAACTCCTCCGACTCGCTCTCGTTATCGTCCAAGAGATGGATGGTGAACGCACCCCATTGCGTAGAGCTCGCGTGAAAATTGCCATTCTCCACGTGAAGATAGCGCGTACTAACCGTCTGCGATCGCAGACGATTGAAAAGCGCCACTTTCGTGCCGCTAGCAATGCATAGATCCGCGTTCTTCAAAGACTGCTTCTTCTTCGACGGCTTCGAGATGACCTTGATACGCTTGCTGTGAAACACGCCGATGTCGTGGCCGCTGCCATAAAACATTTTGACAGAGAGCATAAAGTGCTTGCGCTTGTCCGAATCGGAGATGTAAAGGGTCTTTGCCGCGCAGTACTGTTTGCCGTTGTTCAAATCAAGTTGCTGCATATCCTGATCCGAATTACCAATGCCGATGAAAGCGCACAGCTGAGCGCTCTGCTCGCTCTCGCCTTCGCGCAACATTTGCTCCTGACGCATCCTCCAACCATCACCGAACAGGTAGATACAGGGTGGCGGGCAGAAGAAACGTTTCTCATTGCCGTATGATTTTTGCGCAACCTTGGCATGTAGGATTACAATCACCATGTCGCTACGGTCGCGTAGATAACGTTCCATCGCCTCCCGGGTAAGTCGCTGGTCCTGGTGATCGGCCCTGTAGATGCCGGAGCCGAATCGAGGATAAACGGACATGACCGAGGTCGGCGAGGGCGGGGATTGCATACCGTGTGCCATCGTTGGCAGTCCAAATTGGTGTGGCATATTTAAAAGTCCGGATTCGACTCTCGTGCGAAATGAAATAACAAAACTATTGCCGTCGTTGACATCGATTTATATCTTCATCTTTCAAGCCTGCCTTCCCAAGCGGTCTTTTTCACCTACGATCAATTAAATTATCTGAGTGATACAAATACGATATAAATATAAGTAAAATTATAATTATAATACAACGTATTATACATATATGTATGTCCATAAAAAAATCAGTTGCCAATGCAAATTGGTGCAATTGTGGGTTTACCATGATCTCGTGCAGGAAGAAGTGCAATAATAGCGCGTAGCTATTATGTACAATAGATAGCGTGCTATGTAGATAAAGAATTGGAAATGATAAAAATTAGTATTGAAAAATGAGCGAAATTAATCGAAATCGTAACTCGTAAGAAATGTAACTCGGTGAAAATAGCGATCGCAATGAGTGAACAAAGAGAGGTAGCGCTTTAAATTAAAAATAGTTCGGACAGAACAGCATACTTGATTAATCGTGTCTCTTTACATGTATGTGATATGCGTGTGTATAAAACAATAAGTGCGGCGCGCGCGGGTAAGATTATAAAGATGTGTGAAAAACTATATGTACAAGTAGACGATATCGTGACTTTAAATGCGTGATAATGTATTCGTACAGTAGCGTCACCGTTAGTCATTCTCGCGCGATTAAGCATATACCAAACTGCATACAAATGTCCGCTCGTTTGAAGCTTTAGCGTGAGAAAGATTTTTGCTTTTTACTGGGGACAAGACGTAATTAACTCGAGATATCTTTCTTCAAACGAGCTATCAAGAATTGCTGGTCTTGGCACAGGAAAGAGGAAACAACGTATACAGACGTATACATGCACGCACGTCGTGAGAACCAAGCCGGACTCATTTTTCCTGCATGAATTAAAAGCGCTTCTATCCATTGTGACTATACAGGTAGAGTTTATGTTTATACACTGGGAAAGAAACGTACACGTTACAACTAATAGCATAATTTTTATCTCGTTATACAAAAGTTACATTAATTATACAAAATCAACTGACGCAACGGATCAAGTATACGGAGTGTAGAAAAAATTTTTACAACTTTATTAATCACCTACCTTATGGATTATTGTACTACTTCTTTTTTAAGCCCCTTCTTCTCTACCATTTTCTTTTCATCGAAATGCTCTCTGTATACATACATTCATGCTTTTTACAAGTTTGCCATTTGTAATGGGAATCATCATATACATACTGTGTTTATATATACTGCTCTTTGAGAAGCACTTGTGTGTCTGTTTCCATCAACGTAGATTAATCCCAATTCAATTGACTCTTCAACTCTTTCTAATTCGTGTAAAAGAATTCTACAAATTAAAATGAGGAGTGAGTTGAATCAAAATTAATTAAAGTTAATTTACATTAAACTATTATAATCGTTTATGTCTCCTTCTAGATGAATTCAGTCATATTGCTACATCTCCATTTTACGCTTCACAGTAATGTAACTCTAATCTATAGGAGCTAACAATCATTTTGATGCTTTGAGGCTTTGACCAACAGAAATAATTTCTCATTGAGAATATGGATCAGAATATAATAATAGTAATAGTACGATACAGTGATATAGTTTCTCACCAAATTATATAATAACTGTTATAATCTGCTCTTGTTGCTATATCCACTTATCAATATCCCGCTAATGCTGTGATCTGTAGTTTGCACAATATACAATGTTGAACAAGGACAGAATAGAATACTAAAGTAGCAAAAGTTGATAAATTATTATTACAAATTGGACGCGAGCTATCATCATGCCAGAGTGCGAGAGAGAAAAGTGTCTGTCGAGATACCATCTCGCTTAATTAAGGTAATTCCAGAGTGAAAATTATGACGTAATTCAAGTATCTACAATCGTATCCGATTAGATACTAAAAGAATAGAAATGTAAATGTATTATTCAGCAAGAAAAATTGAACCGAATGTTACGTTGTACTATATAAATAGTAGAGCATGATAAGATGTACACCATTGACTCACCTCACGTTACCTTGAATCCCTCAGGTTTACGATACATCAGATTAGTTGTAATTGCACTGCCAAAATGCACTGCCAAGATGCAACGAAAAATGTGCTACCGTGTTCTATTCTCTATTCATGCAGGCTGCGTATAGTAGCGTAGTAGGCTCTCTCGCGTGCAAAGTGGAAGAGAGTGTAGATTATGAAAATGGAGCGAAAATGAAATGAGTTGAGTGCGAAGCAAGAAGCACTTTTCAGTGGTCTCTTGGATCTCTTGGACATTCCGAACATTCCGATCGCGAGGAAGGACAACACAAGAACGTAACCGTTTCCTCAGCTCGGCGATGTCAGGATTGTCAGAATTGTCAGGATTGTCAGGATTGTCAGGATTGTCAGGATTGTCAGGATTGTCAGTGGCGACGTTCGTGGCTGAAGGGTTATGAAAGCAGGATCGATCGCAACGCGATCGAGCTGTGACATGTGCGAGGAAGCCAGGTATTTTGTTTATTTACCTTTCGACGCGAGCGAGGTTACGGTTACAATACATTTGGCACAAACAGATGAAATTTTGTCCGGTGCTCGACTCACCTCTTCATTCTTGGCCGGGAAATGTCAGGAACAACCGCGTACCCGCGTGCATCCTCCGTGCTATTGATCATCCGAAGCCCCCGCGACTCGGGGCTGGCAAATCCCGGCGATTTGCGGCGACCAGACGAATCGTTCACCACTGCTGTTCACCACGGCGCGGCCGCGGCGAATCCTTCCTTCCTTCCTTCCTTTCTTCCGCGTTCTCTCTCTCTCCCTCCCTCCCACCCCTCACCCTCCTCCTTGCCCCCTCCCTCTCTAATCCATTCAAAAAACACCTGTTCACTTTCCGAATTTTCCGAACAGTTCTACCAACCGTAGCTAAACAAAACACGACGGCAGCGTCTGTGGCAGCGTGGTAACTTGAATTACGCGCGTAACTTGAATTCAATTAGAATCGGGAGAAACGGTGTACGTGTTCTTTTACCATATTTTGCAAAGTAACGTAAACGAGGGGCGATTGAAAATCGACGAAGCCAATTCGACGCGATCACCCTTAACCCGTGACTGCGGACGGACTAACTAACTTGAAAGTGTCCGGAGGCCAACAGCGACGTAAGTGGCTGTACCATGAACGTGGCGAGCTAAGGAGAGGGGGAGCTTCGTGCTGCTCGACAAATTGAAAACAAATGCAGGCGACCGAGTAATCGGGCCTGTCGGACGATACGCGACAATCTTCACTCCGATGTATGAAACTTACGCGCGAACATCGCTGACGTTTGAAATTTCAACCGCGCAGAACAATTTTGAAAGAGTCTACCTATCCACTTTTCTATCTCGTGCGCAACGAATCGGGTTTGTAATTGTTAATTAAATATTAAATCGATCAGATGTGAGTAAAATGAATGAAATTCATGATTTAATTGTACGAGATCTGTACACCCCGATATCGCTTTCCAGATCATAGTCCCGTTTTGCTCGATATATAACCGCTCGATTTGAAAATGATCTGATAATGGTGCACACACATATTCTCTCTCTTTCTCTCTCTCTCTCTCTCTCTCTCTCTCTCTCTCTCTCTCTCTCTCTCTCCCTCTTTTTTAAATACTCCACGCGACACACACACGGCAGCCACGCAGATACGTGACTGATGCTGCAGATTCTATTGTTTGTACAATAGCCCGGTCGACTCGAGCGCCTCCAGCTCCCTGCCTGCCTCCCACCACCTGACGCGCGCCGCTTCTCTCCCGTCGTTTCCATCCATTCCCCTCTCTCCCCAGAGTAGCGGCGCCCCCATAGAATTGCTGCCGCAAAAGGATGTTGGGGTTATCCTGGGGGGCGTGGGAAAAACCTGCTGTGGGAAAGAGTGGGTGGCCTCTACCTCACTCCACTTTTGCGATGATGACGATACGATATATATGTATACACACACAAACACACACACACACACACACACACACACACACACACACACACACACACACA